TTTACTTTTCAGATATTAAAGGAAGAAATTTGTGAAAATTTGTGAAAAGATAAAGACTTAATTAAAAAATATGCAAAATATCTCTTGATCAATAATTTGATTCTCTTGATGGAATGTATATTGTAGAAATTATTTAAAATTATATAAAATATAATATAAAAAAAAATGTTTTAAATATATACATACATAAATTGTGATTATAATGTGATTATAAAAGTTTTTAACATGTGAATATTAATTTATTATTTAATCATTATAGAATAGAATAATAAGTATTTATTAATAATAAATTTTGAATTATATTTATTCTTTATATTCAAAATTAATTTTATACAATAAATACTTAAAGCACTCATGTATTTTTGTGAATTATACAAATTTATGTTACAATGTATAATAATAGATTTTTAAAACGAAATATATAATGAAAAATATATTTGAATTTTTTATTTATTTTCTTTATGAGATAACAAATATTTTACTTATACAATATTTTATTAAAAATAATTTCTAAATAAACATTAAAAAAAGAAGAATCAAAAATACAAGATTTTGAATTCTTGCAATATTAAGTGCAATTTATGTATATAATTATTTTAATCATCATTAGAAAAAATTATTGTAATATAAAAATTGTAAAATAAGAAATTTATATTCATTATAGTCTCGTTAAATTTCTTCCAGCAACCAGTTAAAAAAAATATATTAATCGTTCACAAAAATAAATCTATTATACCGTCGTTAAAAATATTCTTCGATGTCTCGAAGAAGACCAACGTAGTAATCAAGGTCTGTTTTGACGGTGTTTTCTATGAGTAGCACGTAAAGCAATTATGAGATACAATAAACGAGATACCTAAAGAAAATAAAAAAAATAATAATAATAATAATAAAAAAAAGGAAAACTATTCGTATAATCGGTGGAACAATTTTTGTATAAAATACATCGAAACAGACTGTAACTGTGATTATCTAATTTGATGGGAAATGAAGATGGAAGAATATGAAGATTAAACTATTTAATTTCATATGGCCGCATGAAATAGTTCAGAGTAATTATAATATAATCTCGGATAGGATCGATACAATAGACATCTCTCCCTCTGTATACACAAATCATCGTTCATTTTCGTGCGATTGTATCGTTATGAGAACTTCGTTATGAGAATTCAATCTGTTGAGAAAGATAAAATATTTTATTCTGAATTTATTTTCATCAATTTTAATCAAAAGTTTAATGTAACTTATTGATAAATAGTCGGTCTGGAGAGGTCAAAAAATTTTATAAAGGTTCTGGTATTTATACATTGATTCTAAAATCTGAAGATTCTTGAATTTTTAGAATTTGAACATTAGAAAATTTCATTTTTTGAAGTTCAATTATGGAATAATGAAAATTCAATTGAAAAGTAATAATGATTTTTTGTTTGAAATTAATAGTTAAAGAAATAAAAAAATTTTTAAATTCAAATTTGAGTTAATTAATATTAATAATTTATTGATAAAAAAATTCAAATTTATTAATTTATATATATTATAAATTATAATTATAATTAATATTGTTAATTTTCTAATCAAGAAGTTAAAATTATTTCAAAGTTAACATTTAATAAATATTTTAATTAATAACAAAAAGTTCAAAAAAATAGTCAATTTATAAATAATATTGATTTTTTTGTAGTAACAATAATCCAAATATTTAATCCTTGAAAAAATCTATAAAATAGATATATCAAGGAAAAAATATTTAAAATTATTTCTATTTTTGGATCAATAAAGTATTCAGTTCCAGGAATTGCAATAAAAAGTATATGCATAAAAAAGTAATGAACATAATTATAAGCAAAATAAATAATATTCTTTAAAATAACAGGCTTCGAATCTCCAAAGCTGACTATTTACATATTTTACCTCATGATAAAACGGAATAAGAATCAATCAAGAGATAAGAAAGAAATGAGTCGGTCGTACTAAGATAATATATTATAATTGCGTATATTATATTTTAGTATGGACTCGAATAATGTAAAATATTAATGTATATTTGTAATATCGAATACGAGCATCGATTTGTCTCTTCTTTTTCGTTCTTTTTTTTTTTTTTTTTTTCAAATTATTGATTGAATTAAAAATGATCTAATTCGATAAATTTTTTAATCTACTAAAGATATCATAGCGAATAGAAAAAGCAGTCATGAATGTACGAGATAATGAAATGTCGCATCTCAATCTCTTACATCTATCTTGTAAAATAATTGTATAAAGCGTTAATTTATGATTTCATTATAAATTTCGACGTAAGCATTATTGATTATAAGTTTGAGATTGTTCGATTTAAGCTTTAAGATCTTTTAGATCTTTTATATTTCTGTGAACAAAAATTTAAGATTAATAATTTAATTCAAAAATTGGAAAATTAAAAAAGAAAAATAGAAAATTTCAAAAATTCAAAAATAAAAGTTTCAAAATTTGAAAATTTGAACTATTAAAAGATAAATTTTATTTATATTTCTCATTACCTATTTATATCTCTCCGCATAATAACTTGAAGAATTTAATAACTTAAGACGATTACCAAAGCATTTTATCCTCCTCTCGGATAATTGACAACTATAATTAGACTCATCTGTTCTTCCATTCTAAAAATACACAATTCAATTCTAAATGTAATCTCAAACTTATATTCAGAACTTATATGCATTATTTCTCATATGACACATCAAAGTTTATGATAAGTATTATATAATCTATTAATAATTGTTGTTATATCTCGTTAGTATCTGTGATCTTACATTTTGTAAAAATCCTACTATTTAAGTTTATTATGTTTTTCGTGATGTACGTGCAACGGAAGATGCAAAAAAAAAAAAAAAAAAAAAGACTTAAAATCATATACATGTTACTTACGTTTCGTAGATAGACCGTGTTGTCGAATCGATGAGGCCGAAATTCAACGTGTTCCCCCCTGCAACAAGAAAATAAAAAAATAAAATTTCACATATCTCGTATGTAAGAGGAAATCTATAAGCATTCTATTCCTCCATTCTCTCCGCACTTGAGTCGCGTTTTCAATGCAATTGAAATTTATTATTTGATTATTATGAAATTTATTATTTGAAGTTGAAAATTTTATTGTCAGAAGCGTAGAAATATTTCTAAAAATCCAATTTTAATCAAGATTTTAAAATTCTTAAAATATTATGATTCTCCATAAAATATTATTCTATATCAATAATATTTAATTTACTAAAAAAAATTATTATATATTTTTCAGTAAATTAAATATTAGTAATTATTTAGTTAAAAAATATATATAATTAAAAATATATTAATTAAATTTGTAATTAAAAATTCAATGAAATAATTTAGAAAACAGCTTCATAATATTTTTCATTTTTATTCTACTTTCTTTTATTTCTTTCACAATTTGCAATATCTCCTCTCTTTATCAATTGTTAATTTTTTTATTTATGTCTCGCTATTTATTTTTAAACCTCAAATCTCCGGAATCGGATTATGTTCATAAATATTGTTAAAAAATTAGCATGTAATTGAATCTTTCGAAAGATATCTACACTTCTGACATACGCGACATATTTATCTTGTAAAACCGAGCGTTCAATTGATAATTCATTCAGGATGTGTTTTATTTATTTTACGCATAACGATTACGCAGAACGATTTATTATACGTTTATAAAGATAAAACGTGTGTTCTCTATAAAATTAAAAGTCTTTAATGTAGTTGTATATGAGAAGAAGAGGCAATAATTTTTAAAAGATTTGTAAATAATTATCGAATATTACAATATTACAATATTACAATATGATAGAAAAAAAGAAAAAAAGATAAGAACAATAATGACCAATGGATTCATTCTATTTTATTTATAAGAAAAATCAACGTCACGCTCGTTCGAATGAAATAATACTGTTTCAGAAATATAGAAATCCGGGGGTGGTATTTCGACTTCCGCTATTCTGTCTCTGTCTCTGTTTCTCTCTTTCTCTCTCTCTCTCTCTCTCACTTTCATTCTCTTTTACTCTCTTTCTCTATGCCATTGTTTAGCAGTTCCTGTTTAATGCCACGCTTAGACAATGTTTTCAGCGAATCATTGTCGCATTCCACGACGATACGTAACGAATTTAAGAATATAAGAAAGAAAGGAATAATAAAAAAAAAAACAATAATAATAATTATTATTAATTATAATGAATTTAAAAGAAAAAATGTTTATTAGAGCTCCGAAGGAGACAGATTCGATACAAATTTCAAGTGCATAGTATTCAGCAATGTAGGCGCCTTATATTCAATAAATAACTTGTAGATTTGAAACAAATTGTGTTCATATTTTATATCCCATGATGATCCTTTTTATCTTTTTTTTACAAAAAAATTTAAATAACAATTTTAATAACTATATTATAATATTATAATGATGTATGATATATAACTAAAAAAAAAAAAATGTAATTTTGTATATTCAAGAACTGGATATAAAATATAAAATATTTAAGAAATATAAATAATTAAAGAATAATAAATATTATTTACCATTAACTATTAATTATATTAATAATTGTAATTTCCACATTAAAAAATTAAGGAATATTATTATTTTATTATATTATAATTTAAAAATTATTCATCCTTAAATTAATTCTTCTGTAGAACAATAAATATTCCATATGACAATAAATTGATTTCGCAATCTAAAGTCTCTCGTTAGCCTTAATTCACTAACGAAATGCTTCCGTATTGCAAACAAAGGATACTAACTTCGGAACAATTACTCGTGCACATGTTAATACAATTATATAATTATATAGCAGCTAATAAGAAATATTTCCAACGAAAAATTTCAACTTATTAATAATCTTTATGATAAATCAATATCGATCATAATATGTTATTCTATCATCTACCACAGAAATACAATAAAGAACAAGCCGACAAGGGCTTCTCAATTAACGTTCTATGTCCGTGCACGTAATCGCAAACCGTACCCTGCAGTTGTGCAAAGAAGTTCATCGTGGTCGCTTCGACTGCCAATCGACTGAAAAATTTTTGAAAAGTCTTATAACGATTGTAACGTTTTGTCTATAATATAATTTAGTGTCGTTCAAAAAATAATTTTTACATCCTGTGTAAGTACACATGTATTTTTGCAATAAAATTCCTTTAACTTATTCCTTTTACTTATAAGAATAAGAAGAATAAAAGTTTGCGATGAATTTCTTGATTCAATATTGTAATATTGTATTATATATTTTTTGGAACCAAATTTTTTTAGAAATAAGATACTTTTTTTTCAATTATTTATAGGAGAAATATAATTTTTTAAAATATTTCTTTTAAAAAAATAGATAATATATAACATATCTATTATTAAAATTGTTTCGTTGAAAAGAAATATATTTATATTTTATATTTAATTATTTAATAAGTAAGTAAGATATTGTTTCATGCATACATAACATTCAGCATGAAAGAGTTATAAATGGATATAGTAAGTAATCAATGAATCAAAATTAACGATTAAATGTCTGCATTAATCATTAAAAACAATTTCTTTTTAACACTACATTACATCACATATATACAATATATATACATATATTAGTACCTAAAGAAATTGGAATTGTTAAATATGTATTCTTAAACTAAAGAAACTAAAGAGGAAAACTTTTTTATTAAAAGTCTAAGTCAAAGTAAAGAAAATCATTATTAGTAGTTATAGCATCGATTAGAATTAATAAAAAGAATTAATCAAAAGTACATGTAACAGCTATAAAAAAAAAGTGTTTCCAAATTTTTCAATTGGTAATGATATACTTTTGTATTATCATTTATCAAGCAAATATCTCTAAACTTTTATTTCCTGTTATATTTTTCTACTTCTCTCTTTATGAAATTTAATATTCTTTTAATGAAAAGAAAAAATTTAAAGAAACAAATATTTATCCAAATTTTCTTTTTTTTTTGGTCTCTGATGAAATTCGAAATTCTAATAATAACACACGAATCGTATAATCGTATAATCGACAATCGAGAATAGATCGCAGACAGGATGTCAGAGATCTCGCAAACAACATTAATTGCCGAGGACATGTCAGACCGAAGGCTAGGTATGGGTTTACCACGAGACTATCGGATTTCCCACCGGACCAGTCGCAATCGATTTTTAACCGCTGTTACTTTTTACCTATCGGTTTCTAGACTTATAAGCGATCTTATTACCGGAGCTACGGCGAACAGTCGCGAGACATACGTGAAATAGAAAGGATGGACAGATGGGCAGGGAAGGTGGCCGTGGTAACGGGTGCAAGTGCCGGAATTGGGGCCGCGATCGTCAAGCAATTGCTCACTCATGGTAATTCAAAAATTCTTATTTTTTCCAATTGTTGTTTAGAAAGTTTCGATCCTATATCTAATTCAACTCAAAAATTAATTTATTTATAATACTAGTTATTTCAGCGAATCTTGAATACTTCGAATGGATGTATCTATCCGATATGTTTAGCAATGGGCCTTTCTTGTTTGTAGTTTGTGCCAGAAGGAAATAAAAATTTATTTAAGTTTAAGTATAAGTTTGGCCGATATATATATATATATACTGTGAAAATATTAAAATTTATGAAAGGATTTTTTTTATTTAACGTTTATGCAACCCTTTACAGAATTATTAGCAATTACGCAACGAAGATTGCGTAACTGAAAGAATATTTTAAAATTAAATTCTAAATTTTGAAAATAATGAAATAAAAGATCATATTTTGAAGTGTGAAAGAAATATTTTTATTTATTATTCTTAGTCTATTCAATAGAAAAAAAAATTATAAATTTATTTATTTATGAATATTTTGTTCTTTCATGCTTCATCTCAAAATTTCGATATTTTTGTATTAAACCATGAAAAGGAATGAAAAATGAAAAATAAAAAATTTCAAGGAAAGAATAACACACGAGGTATATTCTTCGAAGGATAACGCATAAAACTTTTTTTTTAATAACAAGAAATTAAAAATCTGATTTGATAATTTTTACAATTATCGCAGCAATTTATATATTGATTAATTAATTTCTGCAAGGCATGGTGGTAGCAGGTCTTGCCAGAAGAGTAGAAAAGATAAAAGAATTGGAGCAAGGGTTGGAAGAATGTTCGGGAAAGCTGTACGCCGTAGAATGCGATGTATCAAAAGAGGAAAGCGTGATCGCAGCTTTCGCGTGGGTTCAAGAAAATCTTGGCCCTGCAAATGTGTTGATCAACAATGCTGGAATAACAAAAGAATCTTCTCTTATAGGTAATTCATTCAACCCTTAATATTTTCAATTTAATTTGAACAAAATACAAATGTTAGAAATAATAGAATTTTTATTGAAAAAATTTTTAATTCACTTGAATTTGAATCTAATCTTCATCAATTCAAAGAACATATATTATAATTAATAACAATAATTTATAATTAATAACAGTATAAATTAATATAAATTACAATTAATAGTACTAACATTATAATTGTACTTATATTGAATCTTAATTATACTTAAAAAACTGATGAGAAAATATTTTTTCTAATTTTTAATCAATCTCCAAATTAATTTGTAATTGCTAACTTAATTACAAAAAACCTTTGATCGATTAGCCTAATATCAAATCTGCAGATGGCAATTTAGAAGATTGGCGCTCTGTCTTCGACGTGAACGTTTTCGGATTGTGCCTCTGCACTAAGGAAGCGATTCGCATGATGCGAGAAACAGGAGGCGAAGGTGTCATAATAAACATAAACAGCCTTGCAGGTGAAAGAGTGCCTTTCATACCTGGATTCTCCGTTTATCCAGCTTCAAAAAGAGCTATCGCTGCTCTGGCACAAACGTTGCGACACGAGCTGACGGGAACCCAAATCAGAGTTACGGTACTTGCAATTATTATTTTTTCAATAAATTATATTCAAAATTAAATTATTTTCAAATGAGGCGGAATGATGGAAAATTATTTTAAAAAAATGAATAATAAATTATATATTATATTAAATACTTCTATCATTAAGTATACAATGTAATTAAAATATAATCAATTATGACACGAAAGATTTATAATTTTATTATAATTAAATATTATTATAAATGTTTAATTTAGCGATTTTTTTTTTTCAATTTTACAATTTTTGTTTTTAAACACTTTGTTTCATCATTCGCACAATAGATTTTAATTGAAGAATTTTTATTTCGTTATGAAAAAATATATGTTTTCACTTTTCATAAATATATTTCGTAAAAGCTAATAAAAGAATATTATTTTTTTAAATACTTCTGATTGATTTTTTATTTTAATGATAAAATAAAGCTTTTGAAGGATCAGATTGAGATCAAAATTAGTAAATTACTATATAATTATTAAATAAAATATTTTAAAAAAAAGGAAGTGAGAAAAAAAGGGAAATGTATTAATAACATTTCAAATTTTAATTTCTTTTTTTTTCCTGCAGGGTATTAGCCCAGGTCTAGTAGCCACAGAGCTGATGGTATCTTATAGCACGTATTCCGAGGAAGCATTAGCATCATTCCCCACATTGGATCCAGAAGACGTCGCAACAGCTGCAATATATATTTTATCATGCGCCCCGCATGTTGTCGTAAGTATAATTATTCACACTTAGATGATTGACGAGAATTTAGAATGATATAAAAAATCTTCAAAAAAATATATATATATATATACATATATATTATTACAGATTATCACGCAGACTTGAATCAACAAGTATTAAACACATAAATTATACACGTGATAATGAATTACCAATTTGATTTCTTCTCTTCTTTTTTTAATTTGCAATACATACATTTAATATATTTTCAAAATCGATTCTTTTTAAAACTAAAACTTTTTCTTTTTTTTTTAAAGAAAATCATATCTTGACGATAGTACGTATTATAATATCTTATATTTATATATGAAATATTCTATGCATTATGCGTTAATATCATTTTTAATTATATTTTCAGGTTCAAGACATTATTCTGCGACCTTTGGGCGAATCTTGGTAATAAACATATGAAACCATTCAAGATTTAGTTATACTTTAGAATTATTCGTTTCTAATTATTGCACAAACGATTGTTATAGAGAGAAAGAAAATATTTATACATATTATCAATTGAAAGCACTTATTTAGTTGTTAATTAATAATTGTTATACTTTATAAAAATTCTTTAAATTAACTTAATACATCCAATATATTATTTGAAATTTTTTAACTTTTATCCTTTGATTAAAATTTTTAATTTTTTTTCATGAGAATTTCAGCTTAGAAAGTCTTTTTAAATTAATAGTAAAAAAAAAAATAAAAAAATTGTAAATTTTATTAAATTTTTATCCAATAGTATACGTATCAAAGATGATGAAGTTCGCAGAGATACATGTAAATTACATATTTTAGACATCTATTTCCTTCAATTTCTCGATTATTCATGATAAAAACAAATGACATAACATAACCCATTCATCCTATATATTCCATTTCAATATTTCCTCGCGATGGAGATATTTGAGCTTGGCGAAAAGAAGAAGGCTTTCGCGCACCCAAAAGAACGTTATAAAAATCCCTTTAAAGAAGCTCTTAAAGTGAGATAAATCGATACTATTTTATAAATCAGTGATTTTTAATTTATTTTAATCAAAAGAATGTTAGTTTTTATTCTCATATGAAATTTTGTAAATTTTATTTGCATAAAAGAATATTATTTCAGATTTTATTAAAAAAAAAAAAATTTATCAAAAAAATTAAAATAATAGAAAATTCTATTTCTTACATTTCTCGTATATTTCACTAATTAGGGATTAAATATTATTTTATTACGAAAATTAAAATCGGCAAAATCTTAGAGTTCCCTAGACAATTCTAGTAAAATACTAGTTATGAATTTTAAAAATTTTAAAACAGTAATATAAGAATAATATTCATTGAATATTTTATACTACGAAAAATTGAATATTTTATGTTTGAAAGTTTCATTAAATTACAAATATATTGTTGAACTAGTTGCGAGATTTATGGAATTATACCAAGACGCTTACCAAGAGACAAGAATTGCAGGAAGCGAGACATTTGTTCAGAGAAGCAAAGCATCTTATAAAAATTGAGGAAAAATTGGACAAAATTTATCGTGTAATTAACAAAGGATTGCTTCACAATCCAAGATTTCACTCGCTTCATGCTATAAAAGGAGACATTCATTTTTCTGAAGGTTTGGAATGAAAATATTATGTATTAATATATACGATATATTAGAAATAAATTTGAGTTTGAATTTTTATAATTTATATATATATATATATATATTAATATATATTTCATTGATAGATAAATTAATAGAAATTAATAATTAAATTTATTATTTCATTAAATAAATGTATTATAATTTTATTTGTATGTAATGTATGAATATTTAAAAGAAGAAAATTTTTATGAAAGAAATAAAAATTCAAATCATTTTAATTTTAAAAATTTTGTTTCATTTTCCTTGTCTTATCTTCATAAATTCAAGCTATAATAAATATTATTACACAATATCAAGGAAAAATAATTTTTTATGTTTTATTAACGTATATATCACATCTAAAAACTATTTGTTATACAAATTTACAATCTTCATAATTTTTTTTGCATATTTACAACCATTTTGAACTAAAAACTAAAAAAAAAAAACTAATTTCGAAAAAAATATTATTATTTATAATAATCACAAAAATCATAAAAAATTATTTAATTTAAGGAAAATGGACAAAAGCCATCCAGAACTATGAAAACGCAAAGCTTTTTGCCAAAGATGATTATACATTGACAAAAGAGAAATTAAAAAATATCTACAATGATCAATTAGTCAATGCTTATAAAAAAAGAAGTGAATTCTATTGTGAAAATAATATGTTATTAGAAGCTTTGAGTGATTATGAACAAATTTTTCTATTTAAAATACCTGAAATGAACATAATGGAAATACAAGTATATGATCTTAATTCCTTATTGTTAACAAGTACTGATTAAAAATAATTTTAAATATATTGTATATTGCAATACATAAATTATCAGGATAGGTTATTAGAAATTCTTCGTCGATTGCACAAATACGATAAGTTTCGAATGTATTGGGATCAATTTATAATGAATCCTGATCCTATGAGGATTTCTGATTTGTTAGCTATACATGCAGAATATAAGATTCATCTTAAAGAAATGGCAATTGCCAGGCATATGCTTCTGAAAGCTCTTAGCATTAACAAAAATAATGAAATAGCTCAAAATTTATTACAAGTTCGTAATCTTTTAATGATAAAAATATTTAACTTTGCAATAGCACACTATTTTTTTTTTCATCATCAATTTTACACATAATTCATCGAACATTAGGATAGCTTTCGATTATTTATTTTTAGATAATTCTTTTTTTTTTAAAAAAGATGTTCAACATGTCTTACTAGGATAACGAACAACCTCAGTGTGCCATTATAGAGTTAAAATAATTATAACTTTTCTATTGAATTAAATCTCAAAATTTTTGATATTTTTCATTTTTTTTATGATAAAAAATAAAACTTGATAACGTAGAAATCAACATTAAATCAATTTCAAGATAAAAGTAATGGATTTCGAATAAGACGAATTATATTTTTAACATAAAAATATTAAAAAACTATTTTTAATTGATTTCTAAAATTAAAAAAGATATAAATAATTATTAATTAATATACACCAAAATATTGAATATATATATATATATATAGCAATTTCATTATTCTTCCTTCTTTTTATAATTCAAATTTTTTATTATTCATATTTGTAATTCAATTTTTTTCAATTTTTAAAGATACTAATATTATTTTCAATAATTCTTATTTTTGCACACTAAATACTGCTTATTTAGTATCATTCGATTTTTCCTCGCGTTTACCTGAATTTATGGTAGTAATCAAAATATCAAGTTGATTGATAATAAATTTATTTATCCTTTGTTTATCAACTCTTCGTATATCTGAGCAAAAGCTCAGTGGCATTCACTTTTTTTTTGCTATATAATTATTAAATATATTTTGATGTATTAATTAATATAGTATAATCTCTAAAAAAAAAAGTATTAAGTTATATAATTATTTAATATTTGATATTATATTATCATGTTTAAAATTATTATCATTTGAAATTTGCTAAATTATTTCGATGTATTGATTACAGTTACTATTATTAATATTCGAATGTTTATGTAATGTTATTATTTTTATGTATTTAAATAATTATTGTATACAAAATTTAAAAAATTTAACAGTTTAAAAATCCATTACTTTATCACTTTCTTGTAACTTTTAGAAATTAAATATATTACACATGTTATATTTTTATCATATCACACATACAAACAGGTTGTATTTAGTACTGGTCATGCGTTATCAGCCTATACCGTCTTATGGTGCATGCATTCTTGTTACGACAAAGGTTTGGTCACAATCGAAAAAGCACTGGATTGTAATCCGTACAATCCAGGATTTAATTTATTAAAAACTGTAGTTTTACGATTGTCTGGTCGTTTCGAAGAAGGAAATATATGGTTAGAAAGTCTTAACAAAAATTTTTTTAAACTAATAAAACCGACAAGAGACAAAGAAAAATCGATCATGGGAAAGCTTTCGATTAGAGAAACAAGAAATCATTTGATCAAGCAATGGTATCTAATACGGTAAAAATATAAATATTTTTATAAATATATAATAAATATTTTAATTCAAAATTCCAATAATCAAATAATCAAATAGATATCATTGATATTCCATATTTGATCCATTTTACATTTTTAAAAACGCACGTATCAAACAAAAGCTTAAATAGTAAAAAAAAACTTGTTACATCATCAATAATAATATTGATAAATTATAACACGCTATATGCGGCAAAAACTTTCGAACACTTCGTTTACAGATATGATATGGCAATGCAATGTCTATTAGAGGACAAAATCAATATGGCAATACAAATTGTATTGAAAAGTAACCTAGTTAAACAATATCCAGAATCATATCTATTATTAGGCGACTGTTTCATCAAACGTAACGAAATTAATTTGGCACTACGGTCATACCTCAAATGTCGCAAAAAGATGCGCAAACTGAAGTTACCATTATGTCAAAAGACTATCGATTTGGCGGAACGAATAATCGATATCCTGAACGATAAAGCAGAAGTGGCGATAAACAATAGAGATTCGAAACGAGCGATCGATATAGCTGAACAAATACTTCAAATATTTGATGAAGATAAAATACCATTAGAAGAATTACGTTTACAACGTAGTCGTGCCCTTATCCATAAAGCTCGTGGTCTATTTCAAATAGAAAATAAAAAAGTGATTCGGAAAAAACAAAGTTGCGAGATTGCGGCTGATAGTTTGAGGTTTGCTCGCGAACTAAATCCGGATCTGTATCAAGTTTTATATAACGATAGAAATATGGAAGGAGTTATCGATCGATTTGCACCACAACGAAAATTACCTCGATCTTTAAAAATCCTTATGCAATTTTCTTAATAAATTTTATCGTACATTTTACCGTTCAATATATTTTTTACATAAATTTAAAAAAAAGAGAGAGAAAAGGAATTTTATAATATTACAATTATTTAAAATTATTATTTCGAGGCTAAAAGATTACGTAAACTTGAAGTATCGATTGAAGCAATGTTAAAAATACACATCTGATGCAATATTTGCAAAATGTTACTTGAACAAGAAAATGCCTGTATCTCTTTTTATCACTTATCCTTATTTTTAGTAAACACATATTTTAAGAAAAATTATGTTAATATTATGATGGTACATATTTATAATAATTTTTTGTAGTAATTAAATAATTTGATCTAAAAATATCTTTTTCGATTAAAATCTTTTTTGTAATTTTCAATAAAAAATTCTTTATAAAATTTATTAAAATTTTATTTTACTAAATCACGTAAAATATACATTGAAAAAGAAAATCTTTTTTTTTTTCTAAAAAATATTACGAATATTATAATTTAAATTAAAATATATTTAATCTACAATATAATAAAACAACTGTCTACTTATATTAGTTAAAATTAGTTAAAAAGACAAGGTCTGGTTAAAGTATCTCTGAAGATTAACGCGACCTCGATAATCTTGGGCCACAATTTCAGTTTAGTATAAAAGAAGCATCGACGCTTCAAAATTCAGATACATTTTATTCAATTCTACGGTTCTTTCTCGATTACAAGTAAAAAAAAGAAAAAAACAAGCACAATTTAATATATCAAAAAATTCACAATGGAACAAAATTGGGTTGACAAAGTTGCCTTAATTACTGGAGCTAATTCAGGAATTGGCAAATGCCTAATAGAATGTTTAGTTGGCAAAGGAATGAAAGTTATTGGAATTGCTCCACAAGTTGATAAAATGAAGGTATATAAGATTTTTTATAAAAATTTTTTCTTAAACAAGCAATAATTAATAAATAATAAAACTTCATAATAAATTACACATCTTTTCTATAATAATTCTTTTTTTTTTTTTTTTATATTATGGATTCATCACTTTTTCATTCAATTATGTTGTTTAATTTGTATAGATTGTAAAACATTTCATTCAATCAAATTAATAGATTTGGATTTAGAACAGTTTCAATCTTCGAATCTTTACTTTCTTCTTTAAAGAAAAATAATATCTCTTTATTCTTAAAATTTAAATTTTATTTATTCTTCTTCTACTAAATAGACTCTTGTTGAGGAACTAAAATCTAAACCTGGAAAACTAGTTCCTCTTCAATGCGATCTTTCCAACCAGAACGATATCTTGAAAGTCATAGAATGGGTCGAGAAGAATCTAGGAGCTATAGATATTCTCATCAATAATGCAGCTATTAATATCGATATCACACTGCAAAATGATGAAGTGTTAGATTGGAAGAAAATTTTTGACGTAAATCTTCTTGGATTAACTTGCATGATCCAAGAAGTTCTGAAGTTAATGAAGAAAAAAGGTAAAATTTCACTTTTGAAATATAATAAATACTTAAAAAATTATGATATGTTATATTTATTTCAAAATGTAAATTTTTCATATTCTCATACTATTGTATTTTCTAGGAATTAATAATGGTATTATTATAAACATCAATGATGCTTCTGGATTGAACTTACTACCGATGAATCGTAATCGTCCAGCTTATCTAGCCAGTAAATGTGCATTAACTACCTTGACAGACTGTCTCAGATCTGAATTAGCACAATGTGAATCCAATATCAAAGTCATTGTAAGTTCTCAATTATTTTCATTCTTATATCTAAAAATATAAATTTTAATTGTCAATTATGTCTTCGAAATTTTAAATTTGATAATATATATTTTAGTCTATTAGTCCTGATTTAGTGGAAACCGATATGACTGTACAATGGTTAAAAGAAAATTCTCGTCTGGCTTTGAAACCCAAAGATGTTTCCGATTGTGTTCTCTTCGCTTTACAAACTCCTGACAATGTCTTGATCAAAGAATTGGTGGTCACACCGAATCGTGAAACGATATAAAGAAAAACGATCAAATATCATTTATTATTTTTCTATATGTTTAACAAAAACATAACAGTTAATATTTGTAAATATACAAAATAAAAATTTATCAATATCGAATTGATTATTCTTAAAGATTTGTAATATTAATTCTTTCTCTATGGAACATTATTATTATTAAATACAGAATAATATAATTCAGGCAAAAAGAATATTTTATTATCGATCATGTAATATAATGAGATAAAAAATAAAATAATAAGATTTACATTTATAATATAATAAGATTAAATTCCTATTATCTCTTAGTATTAAATAAATAGATTATGTAAATTGGATATTTACATAATATAGAATTTACAAATATAGAATTTTCGTAACAAATATTAATTGCAATACTATTAGATATCACGATCTTACAAAACGGTCACTTCATTAATCCAAGAAGCAGCGGAAGTTCATTCTCCTCTTGATCCGACGGATCATCTGAACAAAACTAATAAAAGATTAATTCATTATATTCTCTGTTTTCTTGTATATTACTCACCTAAAATTCAATCATATACATTTGAAAAACATTTCTATAAAGTATTGACAACTTTTAATAAATTTTTGTATAAAAAAAATATTTAATAAAAAAAAAATTAAAATAAAATATTTTTATCTAAAAAAAATTATTCCTATTTTTTTTTGTAAAAAAAAAAAAAATATTCTATAAATGTACTTATAATACATTTTTCTTCCTTATAAATACATTAATATTTTCCTATTATTAAAATTATCTGATTAATCATCAATTTTTTAATATTATTGTTTTTATATTATAGGAAAAATAATAATATATTTTATGGAAGAGAATCTATACTCACGTATTTATTTTCTTCTTGCTCTCTTGAACAAATACATGAAAAAAAAAGTGTAAAATCTACCGATATTAATTATATAATAGTGATAATAATAATAATAATAGAGATATTTTCAACATAAATATTAGTTGAGGAAAGGAATTCAGGTTATTATCCAAAAATAGTATCAATAATAAAATAATCAAACATTTTTTATTCCTGCTTCCTGAACAGATATCGATGATTAGGACTTCTATAAAATTCTTCTTATCATCGAGATAACAAACGTAAAATTTCTAATTAAAGAAATGATTGGGTAACTATTAAAGAGGGATTAATACTACTATCGGGAAACAAACATTCATTCTGTCAAAAATTTTTGTTTAAGGATTCAAAAATTTGTGCGATAATTCGTATGATATTATCAATTTGATTTACGTCAATATAATTATTAATAAAGAAAATGGAAAAAAATAAATTTGCATAATTTCAATATAAAATGACATAAAATGTTTTAATTATTATTACTTTAAAGATTTGAAGATTGATTTGATTTTATGTATGGAAACTATAAAATTTTATTATAAAGAGTTAAAATTAAAGATTATTTTTAAATTTTAAAAAATATAAAAAGGTATGGCTATGTTTTCAAAATTTCATTTAATACGATTTTATATCTTTCTCAGATTATACAACTTTACTTTAATTCATTTTTCTTTACGGATAATAATGTAAATCAATATGATAACATGAATTGATCCATCTTGTACATATACGTATGATAAAAGCTAAACATAAAGATGATGATGATGAAAGATTAATCACACTGAAACAGATCTTTCAAACAGATGAATATTATATCTGTTACACGTTTTTAAGTTAGTTTCGTAAAGAAATGGATTTATAAAAAAATTAAAAAATGGATTTTTTTCTGATTCTTTTATAGGATTTTTTTTTTTTTTGTCATATCGTTTAGAAGAATTGCATGCAGAAAAATATGTATATATCGAAGGGGCGGCAGAGATATTAAACTTGAACAAATACCTTACAGCGAGAGTGTGCGAATCATCCGTTCCCGATCGTCCGTGTTATCCGAAAAATGATATCCGACTTATTTTTTTTTTTTTAAATTCCTGTATTGATCTCGATAAGTGCAAGTCCAAATCCCATATCCGACCTAGGAGATATAATCCATGAAGAAACCTATTTGTGAAACGAGTACAGCCACATATTTTGCTTTCTCTTTTTTATATAATTGATCGATATTTTGATAATCCAAATCCATGAATATAACGGCGTTATCATATATATATATACATATTGTCCGGTCAAAGATCCAAGTAATCCGCTTATTTACAGAATCCGTAGAATATTTCCAGCCAAATTATCCATTTATCCAAAATATCCATCATTAACACTAATTTTATATCCTGTCAGCATCCTAATCCCACACACCGCATCTTTGTCAAATCCTGTCTTTCCATCTTATTATTTCATGTATATATACATATATACTTTATTTTTCATTCCAGAAGATCCTCTACAACTAGGAAGAGCCAGGTCCTTGTTAGAAGATGAAGGATTTGTCTCATTTTCCGACCTGAACGTAAATATCCTCTTGAACATGCATCAAAGTCCTGAAGAACGAGGTGTAGATTGTTACTATAGCACACATATCAAAATTGTATATACACACGGTCACGATTAATGTGTACAATCAAAGATCAAAACGATTGAGAGAAGAGCAATCAGACGATGTTTGATCACAAGGTAGAAAGTAAACCGTAGAAACACTATTTTTGCAACGCGATAGTTTTCTTTTGGAGGACTCCTCGTTCGTTCTGCACGATCCTGAGGAATGCTAAGCACGAAGTTAGATAGTTCAATCGTAATCGTAATTGCCTATGCTAATGCTTAAATTACACAAGTCAAACGAGAAATATGGAAGATTTCTCAACGAGCTGATTTCCTCGCGTTGAACCAGGCACCAGTTTTATATATCCTTTTCATATAAGTTGTCACGAATCATCGATCACTGAGCGCCGATGGATGAAACGTATGATATACCCCGGTCAACAACGTTTTCCTTTGACGATGAGAATCAAAATTATCATATCGGTAATAATAAAAATAATTCTCGACTTACGAACGTATGATATAGAAGCTATAAGTGAGTACTTTCATATAAAATAAAACTTTATAATGTTGACATTCCATTACCAGTTTTGTTTTTTTTTTTTTTAGTAGCGTGTAAAACGTAAGAGAAAAATCGCGAAAGTCTTCCTCTTTTTTTCTCTTGTTTTATTAGCGTTAAAATCGCGTGATAAATCGAGTAATAAAACCGAAACACTGAAACGATTAAGAAATCTGTATATAACCACGTCATTAAGATATTAGTAAGATGTTCATTTTGCGTTTTCAATTACGGTTATTTTTTTTTTTTTTTTTTTTCTATTTTAGTTTGTCAATGCAGAAACACTGCTACATCACGATTAGATAATTTTTTTAAGTTGTTTAACGATTCGAAAGAGAAAAATATGGACAATCATTTTGAATCCTTGTAATGGATTTGCCAACGTTTTCTGATGAAAATCCAGCTAATTGAGAATCCTTGAATGAAACGGATTGTGTTTTTCATCCAATTCCTTTCCTGAATTCCTGATCCTGAATTTCCTCTTGAAAGTATCCTTAATGCCTCATTATTTTTGCATTCTCTTAATCCTTTTTTATAATATATGCTCCATACATAAATCCATCCAAAACGCATTCCATCTCATCCCACCGTCAAGCGAATGTGTATTATATCCATCCAAGAAGTAAGATCGTGTCGATTTCAGTTTTTCATTCATTGTGTTACAATCCAATCCAATATACAAAAGAAGAAAAAATACATTAGTCCCTTATACAATATGCATTAATGTTATATATAAAATTTATTACTGCAAATATAATCCTTGTGACTTACAATATTTAAATATTATATTTTATAAATTGAGCAAATACTATACAGAACAATATTTTGTATCTGCTTAATTTAAATTTAGAATTATTTTACATATCCATATTAAATAATGTAAAAAGAAAACAGAAATCACAAGATCAATTTGCAATAATAATATTCTCAATAATACACGAAATCATTGTTTTCCTTCAACATCTTTAATTTACAATCGAGAATTCTAAAAAAAATGTATGCTTTTAGGCATTGCAAAATTTATAGAATTTTCGTTTGTATAATTTTTAAAAGGAAAACGAGAAATGTGTAGCAGAGTATCATTTGCAAGTGCCAAATATAAAAACACATTTCTCAGGATATGTCGTGTATAACTTAAAATTACTTTAATATTTCACAGACATTCAAATAACAGACATATTATTATATTCTTAATAATAATTTCAATATGAATTAGATATTGTTTTTTTCTAAAGTGACACATAACACACAGCTTTTTTTATCAAATCAAAAAGATGGCCCAATGATCGTCGTTAAAGGACACTCAAATAAAACATATTTTAAGCTGTTGTTATATTAAATGAACAATATCAATGCATAATAAATGAGTTATATCAGTTTTTCCAAAGCAAATTGGTCATATAAATATTAATCTATTAGTAAAAAATAAATTTTTGATCTATCTTTATCAAATATGTTCTATATGTCGACCATCCGTCGATAGGTATCGATGTATTACATTACCTAGATATTAAGTGTTATATTTTTAATACATATAATATTTTGTATTGTCATCACTAGATAGTCAAAATAAACGTACTTAAATTTGTGTGATAACTTAAACGACGATGAGCCGTGTAAACAACTTTGATGTATTTATTTATATAATAATTATTGTAAGAATTAATTATAATTTGTTTATATAAAATAAAATATAACTTTATAATGAATTTAAGATTTTTTTAAATATATATTTTTTTATTATATTTCAAATTATTTATCAAATATTTTAAAATTATATGCAGAAAATATAAAAGAAAAAATTTTAAAGTTTTTGCATAATTATATTGAAAAATTTTTTGATTTTTAATGAAATCAAAATTTAAATAATTAATACAATATATTTGTTATATATCTTGCATATTATATATGCTTATTAAAAATATTATCGTTTATTATTAACATTATCGTATTAATTATTTTTTTAATATATGTAAAATAATTTAGAATTGTTATCACTAAAAAAGTGTTAGCTTTATGAATATACATATATGATAAGCATTCAGCATTAGAAGCTTTAAAAAATTTCATGTTATATATGCTATAAAATGCTGTATTCACAATTGCAAATTTGAATAAATATATGAAAAAAAAATCACGATCACATCAGTATTATAATATAGCTACCAATGATATTATACAATGTGAATGATCATATATTAAATTAGAAAACATTCACACTGAATGTAGATTATATTGGTAACTATATAATAAATACTACTATCAATGTGAACACTAATTAAATAACCAAAATAATATTAGTTATTTCTTTTTAAATTTTCATTTGTAATACTTCAAAATTGTTACACATCTCAATTATAGTTGTAGTGTCAAAACGAATTGCAAAATATAAAGGAATGTATTTTCAAACATAAAAATAATTCTAATCAATATTCTTCAACAATAGTATGCAATTAATATGAGCACGATTCTTCTTTATTAAGACAAAAAATTAAGATAATAAAACTTTGTCAATATTTACTGTTGGAAAATCTAACTGCTCTTTCAGGTTTATTTAAATAATCATTTTTAATTGTGGACTTATAAAAGGATAATATATTCTTAGATTAATTGTTAATATATAGATATAAGCTAGGAATATTTAAATAGAGAATGACAAAATCTTTGAAAAAACAGTTTTGATATATGTAAAATGAACCGTGCTCTAACTATACATTAGGTACAATACAATTATTAAATTCAAGCAACATAGAAATAATTTTATAATTTGTACAAAATTGGTTTGGATTGGAAGGTGTCTTTAAGTGAAATTTAAATCAGTAATAATGAAACATGGTAAAGCAAATATTGATAAGCCTTTACTTATATTACCATGTGAAACATATACGTACACACTAGTCGTATGAACGAGATCTGGAGCGAGATCTTGATCGCGAGTAATTACGTCGTAATGGTGAATAGGTAGGTGAACCACGACGCCGTGGACTATAGCTTCGTGAATGACTTCGACCTCTTTCCCTATCTTCACTGCGTCCCCTATCGCCACTGTTATGATCTTCTTTCACTCGAATATATGCTACTTCACCCTATAAATAAAAATAAAAATGAAATTATGTAATACAAAAATATAAGATATTAGAAATTTATAATTAAATCATATATTATTTTAATAAATTTATACCTCATGAGACCTAAATCTTGAATCATCAATTTTTTTACAGCATACTTCATATCTTCATATCGTAAGAATTCAACAACTCCAGTACCATCTTTAAAAACATCAGCAAAGCAAACATCACCAGCTTCACGCATATGATCCTTTAAATCTTGCCAACTACCAGAAGGAGGTAGACCCGTAACAAGAACTCTATATTGAGATCTTCTTGCAGGTGGTCCACGTCCTCGAGAATTACTCATTTCACCTCGACCACCTCTTCCACTATCTCCTGCTCCACGACCACCACGAAAATTATTACTAGGACCTCCACCTCTTGGAAACTCTACACGTAGTCTATAACCATCATAATCATATCCATCTCTTGCATGTACTGCATCCTCAGCATCTCTGAAAAAAATTACTTATAAAGTAACAAATCTAATATAATTTTTATGTAATTCCAAAATTAAATCCAAACTTCAATTAATACTCGATAATATCGACATAATTTTATTTTAATTAAATTATAAATTTTTTAAATATTTTTTCATTTAATTAAGAAAAATATATTATAGAACAATAGATATAATAGATATTCAATGTTATATATTCAGTATTATAATACAAAAAACGAAAAATTTTTACGTAATTATAATTTATCAATATACCTTGGATCATCAAATTCGACGAAAGCAAAAGGTGGTCCTCTACGATTTTTTAAATCAACAAAAATAACTTTACCGAACTTATAAAAAAGATCTTGAATGTCTTTCGTTCTAATATCGGGAGGTAAATTGCCTACATAAATTCTACATTCATTTCTACCACCGTGAGACATATTCAAAGTTTGTATTATAATTTACTGTATACAAGACACAATAAAAAACACACTTCTAAAAACTTTAATCGTCTTTTAAGTCTTACACTCTCTTTATTGATGAAACAAACAAGATGGTGGTACCGGTCGGGAAGAAGCAAAATCATGAAATATATAGAAAACCAAGAACGTTAAAAAATCTGAACGAATCAAATATTTTTATACAGTTATTAATTTATTACGTACCATATTTTTTATTTTATTTTTTTTATATTTATAAATTAATAATTTATATTTAAAAAAAATTTAACTTTATCTTATTATTTTAAATATACTGAATTAATTAAATTAAATTATTTTTTGATAAAATATGTATAAATTATTATTCAAGATATATAAAAATTAAATATTAAATTTTATTTGCAATATTTTTTTCATTTATATTTTTATAAATAAATTAATCATCATGTAACATTATTTCAATATAATTTTACTTCATTTTTTTAAATTTTGAATTTGTTTATTTAAATTTAATGAAATTATTAATTTTATTAATAAAATTTTTTTATGAAATAATATATAATAACAAATATTAATTTTTTTATATTTTAAATATTTTAATTGATTTATTTTATTCATTTTATTATTTTCTTCTTCAGTGAAATTTTAAAGTATAAAAATAAAACTTATAAATATACTATAGATAGTATCCCCTAGAAATTAAATTTGTTAAATTTTGTTTACGTTTTCCTCTAACCTTTAAAATGTATAAAAACAACGAATAATTATTTTATTTATTTTTTCTTATAACAATGTTATTTATTTATAAATATGGAAATTTGTAATATTAATAATATTCTATGATATTAATAATACATTTTATAATTTTATTCTTAATTAAGTAATAATTATAAAATCACAATCAGAAATAATGTATGTGTATCATTAAACTTAAATATAATAATGGCATTTTCATTTCGTATTGGTACCAAATGGTACCATGATTTTCCAAAATTGGCAAAGGAATCTGGATTTTATTTTAATATGCATAGATCCAGATTAAGAATAGATTGGAATCGTATAAGTATGTATGTAAATGATTTCAATAGTATTATTTAATTTATTTATAATTCTATATTGTTTTAGGTAATATAGATATAGATCGAATTATAAGAGAAAGAGATTTCCATTCCATTGATGAAAATATAAATAATGTAATAGATTATTGTTTAGAAAGTGAATATGATGTTAAAATCTTGGATCCAAATTTTGTAAAACTCTTTTGTCTTGCACAGTTAGCAGTTGAATATTTATTATATTGTAAACAATATTTAGATCATAGTGTAATGATATTAAAAGATGAACTAAAATTAAAAATTGAAGAAAATGTTAAATTAAAAAAAGAAATATCTACTTTAGAAGAAATAATGAAACATATGAAAGAAAAAGTAAAAGAAAAAAGTAAATTAATAGAAACTAAAATTGGAGATACTAATGGTGAAATATATAAAGTAAGAAAATTGTAAAATATTAATTTATTATAAATAAAGTTTTTTTTTAAGAATATAATATAGATAAAATATATATTCTTGTTGAAAAACTGCATAATAAATATACTTTAAATATATTTTTCTTAAAAGAAAAGCTTTAATTATATATGTAAAAATATTTATTATTTATTATCTTATTTTTTTAAACAAAATTATTAATATTTTTTAGTGTCCACATTGTCCAAAATCTTTCATATCTTCTATGTTTGTTAGTGCACATATTATACGTCGTCATACACATACATCAGATTTATATATGTCTGTTTCTCCTATACATGAGCATTATCGCAATGAAACTGAAAAGTTACATAATGAAATAAAAAACTTGAAAGAAAGATTAAATGAAACAGAAAAAGTAATAAGAAATGAATCTGAAAGGATCTGTGATAAAAAAATATTAAATTATGATAAAAAGCAAACTGAAAATGAAATTGAAAATCTTAAATATGATAATAACAAATCTAAAGAACATTCAGAATATAAAGAATATCAAGAAGAAATAAAAAATTTAAAAATCATGCTTTTTGATGAAATACATGTATGTATAAATTTGGAAACTTTTACAATATTTTAAGTAATAATATATAATAATAGATAAATGTTAAATGATAGATAAATGTTATATAATAATATATAATAATAGATAAATGTTTTAACAGAATTTAAGACAAAAAGAAAACATTATGTATGAGCGTACATCTGAAACAAATGTCCAAGCATTAATAAATCAACAAGAAAAAGAATTTCAAAAATTAAAAAATCAATTACTCGACAAAGTAAGTAAAAAATTTTTTCATATAATAAATATGATTATATAATGGATGATTACTTTTTTTGATATTTTATAGTTTACTCCAGATATAGAAAGCATGCATACAAAGTTATATGATCAAGAAAATTATTGGAATCAAAAATAGAACAATTAGAAAGTCAGCATCATAAAGATATTGAGAGACTTACTACAGAATTGAAATTAACACAAAATGCAGCTGATGATATGAAAGCTAAATATGAAGCAAAAGTTAGCGATTTAGAACGTCAAACGGCAAATCAATCAAATATTTTAATTGAACAAAGTAACAATTACATTCCTTATCGCATGAAATAAATATTTCACAATTAAATGAAAAAAATAAAGATTTGAAAAATAATTCTTTACAAAAATGTAGTCCATCTATAATGTTAGACAAATCTAATGAAATTTCAAAAAAATCTGATGAAAATAATTTAAAACAAAGTTATGTGGATACAACAATTGAACAAATTATTACTGAAAATAATACAGTAGACACTACAATTACTTCAAATTTATCAAATAAAGTATTTCCATTAACAATAGAAGATACGTTTTTAAAAGATACACAAATTTCGAATTCCAAAAACAAATTCATTATTCATGAAAATAAAAGAAATATTAAACAAAAATATGAAGAAACTCGAGATATCGAAAATTTCGATCATATAAAAACTATCAAAAAAGATTTAGAATATTATAGTTCAAGTAATATTTCAGATTCAGAAGATTCGATACTTGAAGAAGAAAATAATTCTAAACATAGAAAGTATAATCAATCAATTATAAAAATGGATTTACACAAATCTGATATAAGTAAGCAAGAAAATGTTATTAATAAAAATACATCTAATGACTTTTTATCTGATATTAAAAATATCAAAACATTGAAATCTATAGAAGAGAATTTATCTTCTATAACAAATTCAGAATCATTTATTTCTAATTCAAGTATAGAAAATGATACAATTCACAATGATTCCTCATTGCATGAATATAAAACACAATTACCATTTTCTTTAAAATCTAAAAAAATAACAGAACACAATTATAAAAGTTTGCAAGCTTGTTTAATGAATGTTTTTGAGCAAAAATTAAAAGATTTAGGAATAGATCCAGAATGGCAAGGAATACCAAAAACAACTTTTAAACAAAAAATGGATATTTTAAAACACCATCACAAACTAGCTACAAAAGTAAGAAAAATATGTAAAATATTATTATAATGTTTATGATGCTTAGAAACTTATTAATGTTTTTTAAATTATTTATTTATTCACAGAAATTATCAAAATATCATCAAATTAATTAAGAATAATCGAAGAAGTTCTCAATAAAATATCAAGAAAAAAAAAATTATAGAAAATATGAAACAATTTAAAAAACCATCTTTATATAGACCAATAATAAAAGAATTAAGCAATCAACAAAATCCTGGTAATTATAATTTTTTTTTTCTATATATATATATATATATAATCTTAATTTTTTTTTTTAGATTCTCTTTTTATTTTTTTTTAGATTCTCATATTTCTTCATTACAAGCAATAACGTTAAATGAATATGATTCTGCACTAGAAACTAAAGATTCTGTTAAAAATATAACTGAAAATGAATCAGTACCTATAACAACACAAATTACAAATTACAAAACTGTAAAAGAATTAATAGATATTTCTCCTAATTCAATAAAATCTTTGGAAAATATACAACATGCTACAAATTTTCAAGAGCTTTTAATAAAAAAAGATTTTTTGAATGAAATGAAATCTGTATTCAATTCTGAAACATTCAAAATAATATCAAATAATAAAACTGTATCAAATAACAAATCTACTGAAAACAATGATATAAATAATTCAAATATACAACAGGAATCACAAATTTTTATATCACCTAAACATAATAAAAGTGTTCTAAAATCTACAACTGGTTCAACAAATAGTTTGATAAAAAAAAGAGTTATTTTTGATCTAACAAATAAAAAGGATAAAGAATCATATTCTGATGATGATAAAGAAAAAAAAGAATTATGTGAGAATAATTGGAACACTTTAGGGTATGTAAAAATAAATGATATTTTTTTATAAATAAAAAATATTTTATTTTAATTTATATTTAATTTTATAATTATTTAGTAATTCTGATGAGCGGAAATATTTATCTCAATTAGAAGATTATAAAAATTCAAGTAATATCAGATTAAAAACTACACAAAGTGATAAAATAGCAGAATTATCAAAAAAACTTGAAATACAGGTAAAATGTTAAAAAATTATTTATTTTTTAATACTAACAATTATAAATATATTATTTCAGTTAAATATGGTGAGACAAAAACCTATAGGATCTGTTGAAACAATATTTTCTTCAAACTACATACAAAATAAAAAAAATCAAAATAAGAGTATTGAACAAATAAATCCTACTAGTATAAGTTCTTTTGTAATAAATCCAGTTCAAACATCTTTATCATATTCTAAAAAACCAAATGAATTATTACAACCAGCATCGTATAATTTAACACATAAAATATCTGAAATTTTACATGCAGAATCTGTATCAGAAATATCAGATTTAGATTCTGACATAGATAAAATTTTAAAATTAGAATAAGATTTAGATTAAGATTTATATAATGTGAGATATTGAGACATATTTCTTTTTTTCTTGTAAAAAAGAATATACAATAAAATTTTTTTGTTTGAGGTTTAGTTTTCAAAATAATCAATTTTATATCTATTATATACATGCATTTACTAAAATACGATTTTCCGTAATATAATACTGATCTTAGTTACAATAATAAAAACATTCAAAATATAGATCATTAATAGAATGTATTAATTACCCATTCAAAGATATGAAAATTGAAAATACATTATTTTAAAGTTTAAAAATACAAATATTAATAGTAAGAACAATTAGGTGAGAATGTCGAGAATAAGAACATTATTTTCAATATTACTAATAATAAAATGTTCATGATAAAATATCATTTTTTCTCAATTGCAATTCTAAAATTCCTGAAATATTATTTGCAAATCAATATTTTTGCATGAAAAATCGTATCTTAATTACATATATAATAGATTTTCAGCTAGATTATTTTGAAAATTAAGTTTCGAACAAAAAAAATTTTATTTCGCACTTTTTATACATTATATCGCATCCTATATAATATATATAATAATTATATATATTATGTAATTAAATATGATATAATTTTAATTTTTCAAATTTACAGCTATACAAAACAATGTTTTTATCTTGAAATATAATTGAATAAAAATACTCTTTGTAAAATGAAACATAATATTAATTTAATACTAACAAATAATAATTATAAAATATGTAATAATTTTCTATTTATTGATTTGTAATCTAGTCTATTAGACCAAAAAAAATAATTATCGCATAATGCAGTCAATATTTCACTTACTGTAAATAATTTTTATTTCTGAAACAAATAAAAACAAAAATATTCTTATATCAAAACATTTTATTGTTAAATTGTTAAATGATATACATATAAAAATAATATATTAATAATATATTTAATCTATTTTGATATAAAAATTTTAATAATTATTTAATATCAATTATTTTTAAATATGATTTTAAATATGATTATTATATTTCGAAACTAAAACTAATATCCACATACTTGAAAATTTATTATACTATATAAATTCTCTTTCTCTCTCTCTCTTTCTCTTTCTATATATATATATTAAATATATATATATATATATATATATATATAATAAAGTAA